CAATTTCTATACTACGGAAGGAGACTGCGACCACAAAAAAGGCCACACCATCTTGGTCTTATACTTTCAATATACAGTTAATTGCTCTTGATATAGTTAAGTTTGCAGACTGAGAGCAAATGTTTAATAAGAAATGAATCACCTCAGTTTGCTTAGGCTGATTTAGCAAAGGGTATTTCGGCTTTCACTCACAATGAGAAGAGCAAATAGATTATAAGCAATTGCCTATTTCAATGGTAAACACATCTTTAATTACTCGACAAGCCTAGTGTGAAATATGAGTAGGGAGAGGCCTGGCTTACTTTGAATGTCGGATCCACCCTGACGCAATAGTACCCATACCGTGTATTGGAGAGGTAAACAACTCCATGCTACTCCCGACTTAATTTCGAATTTCACTGAGATGTGGGTAAAACCTGGGCGAGGTCATAGCTTCAGTGCACCATGACTGTAATAACCTTTCCTAATCACATCTAAGTGAAATGCATCGGCATTGAGAGGTCTACTTGAGATCAGTCCTTAAATTACGGCAAGCCGACTAAGTTCTTATGTATGAACTACCGAGTCTCAAAATGTAATTTATAGCAAAAATGTATGGCTATACACATATTACTTTGTAATGATGGCAACTATCACTTCATATGCGCAAGAGGGATTCGCAAATTGGCCTTGAGCATATCTGGATTGCAAGACAGTCAGCTAAATACTCATTTCGACAAATACAATCATAATCTCGAGGCAATCCTTCCTCAACTTTCAATGAAGTTAATTTACAAGACCTAACACTTGCCCTGGCATGAGAAGTGAAAGGTTCAGACACCAATTTAATAAAGGATTCCCCAGAACCCAGCTTGTGTTCAAAATATTTTCATTTATTGAAGCCATTAAGTGACTGATAGTCACCAAACGCTTTTTATAGGAATCACGGCGATTGCTCAATTTGAACAAAAAGGCTAAAATTCATTTTTTTAAAGCCAGCGTTCTCTTCTATTCGCATTTATGAGTTTAGAGACTATCAGTAGATCGTTTATATGAGATACATTCACCCTATTGCGTTTCAGGTGGATAATTATTCCCATAACTAAATGAATAGGACTCACATTTCAAGCGTATTTTACATATACTTGCCTGCCAAAATGTATTTTCACTGAGAGTACACTCCAGCTTACTCCACGCCTAGGCCTCAGCACACATAGCAGGAACCGAACCCAGGTAGCCTAGCCTATAACCTCAACAGATTAACCACTACGCCATACCACCAAGTATACCTTTAAGTAATAGGGCAGAAATGAGTTTCAGGGAAGGACAAGCTTTTTCCATATCACTTCCTGTGGACGTGTTGTCGATGAATCAGTTGTTTGCTATACTAATAAACTATACTACTCATTTTAGTTTATAAGCAATATATCATTGCGGGAATAAATCAGCTAGCATTCATTCATCCCCCCAAGCAAAGCAGCGCGAAAACACC